AGTAATTTTAATTTATATTTAAAAATAAAAAATTTTCAATTAACAGCCTTTTAAATTAAATTAAAGTAAATATGTTAAAATTAGATTTGAACCAGATTCAAATCAAATTGAATCAAGTTATATTATATTTGATTCAAATTTGAATTGTATATCTAAAAACGAATCAAATCAAATTTAACTAAAATCTGATCTGATTCGATCCATTGCAATCCCTATCTATATTATATCTCAAATAGTGTCTAACTATCTAGAGAAATTTGATACCTAACCACATGAAAGCATTGCAGCCACTATATACAGGTTGATCTTCAAGTAATGACTAGGATTGACAAGCTTGTTTTTCAAATGTGGTTTGATATATGGCAAGTTGGAATGTGTTCCACCTTATATTTCCTCTAAATAACTGCTCAATTAGTTAAGTGGCCATTATACCAATGTAGACATCTCATAGAGATTAGCCTTTTATCCGATTACCTAGTATTTGATCTTCTTTACCCTTCTAAGATTGCAACAGATTACAGGTTGATCAGATCTGTGATAGTTGCCTACATCTGTGACAAGTAGGAAAGAAAACAGCCACTCTTCATAAGAAGTTTTGTACATATAGCCGCACTATTTAAGTATTTGAGTAAAATCCAGCACTAGTATAAGGTAGAAGTTGACAGAAGAGAAATGTTTGGACATATAGTGATGATTGTTAAAGGAAGTTGTTGGACATAATAAAGTTGGAATTTCTTATAGATATTGTTACCTAATCTTATACAATGAGCCTATATTGTCAGAGAGGTAAGCGAGAAACTTTCGTTGTCATCACCAACTCGTGTTGTGAGAATAATTAGAATCACTGGTCTTCATGTATTATCCTACTAGATTCTCCAATTACCAATATGACACTTGCAAACTAATCTAGCTTATTGTTAACTGTATTGGCATTGGCTGCCATATCTTTCTGGATACAGTGAAATGCAACTCCTTAGATACTTTTGAATAATAATAGTTGTATATTGGTTTCTTAGATATATCTAGTTTAATCATCAACAAGTAAACAATACTGGATTTGGTAATGATGATCATATTGATCTTTTGGAGGGTGAGCCATCCGTCCTTTTTCTGTGAAGCCATGGAAGAGAGAAAAATTCTGAAGCCCACGTCTTAAGAGAAGTTACCACTTCTGCATATGGTCTTAAAAAAAAGAAGTTGACTAGCCAGGGAATTGATGTTATGAAAAGCAAGTTTATAAAAGAAAAAGAGACCTAGAAAAAAACCTTCAAAAAGAAAGAAAAACCTAACTTTGGCAGGGAAGGGGAAAAGAAAGGAAAGAGGGTAAGCAATATAAAAGAGTTTATAAAAAGGAGGGATAAGAATAGAGAAAAAAAAATAAAAGATATAAAAGAAAGGAAAGGGGAGAGCGAAGAAAAAAAGTAAGCAACTCAAAAGTTTCTTAAAAAGAAAATTTTCAAGTGCAGAAGAGAGAGTGGAAAAGAGATTTTTTTTTTTTTTTTTTTATATTTTTATTAATATACAGTATATCAATTATTTATTGAATTGTAAATAAAAATATAAATTGAAAATTTATCTAAAGATTTTTTAAATAAATTATATACAATTATTTTTATTATAATTTTAGACTTGCAATTACAAGATTTATAAACTATAGTACAATATATATTTTTCTTTATTAAGAAGAATTTAATGCAAGACTTATAAATGTAATCTATTTACCTAAATACTTTAGTATTTCTCAAGAATATAAAAAATTGAAGTTTAAAATTTATATTATACTTTGAATGGTATCTAATTATTTAAAGAATATTGATTACCTAATTATATAAAGATGTTACAATTATTATATACAGGTTAGTCTTCAAATTATGATTAAAATTAACTCACTTGTTTTTCAAATATAGTTTAATATATAGTAAACAAAATGTATTTTATCTTAAACTTTATCTAAATAACTTGCTTAAATAATTAAATAGTTACTATTTCAATTAAAATATCACTAGTGAAGATTGATCTTTTATTCAATTATCTAATATTTGATTTTTTTTACTTTTTTAAAATTGTAATAAATTATAAGTTACCCAGACCTGTTGCAGTTATTTATACTTATAGCAAGTAGAAAGAAAGATAACTGTTTTTTATAAAAAGTTTCATATATATAGCTACATTATTTAAGTATTTAAGCAAAATCTAACTCAAATATAAAATAGAAAAAATAAAATATATATTTAATTATAAAATATTAATTTATTAAAACATTGAATACAATGGAATTGAAGTTTCTTATAGATATTGTTATTTAACCTTGTACAATAGATCTATATTATTAAAAGGTAAATAAGGAACTTATATTGTTATTACAAGTTTTATTTGTAAAGATAATTAAAATTTTTAATTATTATATAATATTTTATTAGATTTTTCAAGTACTAATATAACATATATAACAATATAATATTACTATTAGCATTAACTATTATTTTTTTTTAATATTGTAAAGTATAACTCTTTAAAAATTCAAATAATAATAGTTGTATAATAACTTTTTAAATATATCTAATCTTTACTATTAATAAGTAAACAATATTAAATTTGGTAATAATAACTATATTAATCTTTTGGAAAGAATAAGCCATTTATTTTTTTTCTAAAAACTATGAAAAAGAAAAATTTTCCAAAGTTTATGTTTGAATAAATTATTTAATAAGGTTTTTTTATTAATTTTAAATAATATATTATTTATAATATTTTTTAATATTAAATATTATATTCTATTATTAATTTTAAATTATTTTAATCTAATTTAAATTTTGTTTAAATTGTATTATTATCAAAAGATTTTGATTTTTCAAGAATTAAAAAAATAATCATAATACCTTGATATTTTTTATTTTAAATATTGAAAAAAATTATATATTTTTTGTTATTATTTATAATTTTAAAATATATATTTTACAAATTAATTTCTTATTAAACAAATATTAAATTGAAATCACTCAAAATTAAAAAATTTTTGATTATTAAAGTTTATTAAATTAGTTTTATTTATTTTATTTCAACTTGTAATTATTAAAAAGTCAAAATTTTATCTTTATACAAATTAATTGTTTTTAAATATAAATCTAATTAATTATATATTGGAAGTTAGTTAATCAATTATAAAAATATCAAAATTTTTAATTAAATAGATTTAATTTAAATCATATTTTGATAACTTATAGAATATTATTATTATACCATAAATTATAAACTTGTATATACAGTATGTGATTTATAATATATGTAATTAAAAGTTAATTATTATTTGTTTGTTTTTTTTTCTTTTCATATAAGTTATATATGTTTTTAACAAACTTTGATTAATTTACTAGATATAAAAATCATAAATATAATTACAATTAATAAAAGTTTAATAAAAACAGTACATTTAATATTTATTAAAAATAAATAAATAAATGTAAATAAATAAATAAAGTATAATAGTAAAAATAAAGAATATATAGTTATCACAAAAAGTAAAGCCCGATCCAAATTTTATAGCAAAACATATAAAAAATAGAAATTTTATATTATATAAAAAGTTTTTGTTTTTTTTTTAATATATAGATATTAAATTTGATATTAATATATAAGTTTTATCATGGATTTTTTTTTTCTGTTTTTTTTTTTTTTATCATAAAGTTTGTAGTTTTAATTTTCATATATAAAACATATAATGTTACAAGTTTAAATTTAAATCTAAATTTGATTTTTTAAAAAATTATTAATAAAACTTTTATATGGGTTGGTACACAGCAAAACCATGCTTTGAAAGATTTTAACAAAAATTGAGATTTTTAGTGGATTATATTCCCAATAATGTCCCTTTATCCGTGATAAAAGTTTGGATATATTTATATAAATTATAATTAGGTACAATCTCGCGCGCATTTTTATATAATCGTTGATATCTCCAAATAAGGATTTTGTCTCAAAGCATGGTTTTGCTGTGTACCAACCCATATAATGTAAAAATTTTTATTTGGTTTATAAAATTGATCTTCGGGCTTTACTTTTTGCGGTGACTGTACATTTAACATGCTCGCCGACAGAAAACGTCCCAATTCTACGGGTTTGACGTGCCATATATTGTATTTGAATGGTTTAGCTTATGATGTAGTACGTGTTGTGCCACATATGATAAATTGTCACATAATTTGACAAATATACAGTATTTAAGTTAATTTTAGAAGGATATGAAGGATATGCCATAGCATTTTAACATGTCATACAATCACCAGCACATCATTTCATACATTCATGGTTTTATGAATTTAAGATAAAATCATTTTTCATACCTATGCCGAGATGTAACGATTTATGACGTTAATAAAATTCGTTAAACCAATCGAGAAGCCCTCGTGTTAATGCTAGGCGAACAATCTGTAACATTAAGATTATGTTTGTGATTGATTCAATTATGAAAAGTTGATGGATATTAAACGTGATACTAAATAATTAATTATGGTATGAAGTATTTACCAAATTGCGTAATAGAATGAAGTTTACCAAACACATCAAGTTGACCGTGGATTAAAAAAATTAAAAAAGAAGTTACTAAACATGTCAGATCAGATATCTCGTAAATTCAAAAAGAAGTTGCCAAACACGTCAGATTGACATCTCGAACAATTAATTAAATATATATAGCCGAAATTTGTTTTCAAATTCAGAATTTCGGAAAACAAAAAAAAAAATGCACGTTTATTTCGATATATCCGTCTCATTATTCTTTGTCATTCTTTACATTTCTCATTACTATTACAAATACTTTACTCGCAAAAATCCACTCCCCGGACCCATCCCTCTTCCATTAATCGGTAATCCTTCATTGTTATGGCGCGATACTGCCGTGTGGCCAAGTCAGCTTCAAAAGAAATATGGGGACTTTTATGAAGTTTACTTAGGTCCCAAACGAATGATCTGGCTCTGCAGAGAAGAATTGGTTCACGAGATTATGGCCCAGAAAACTAATAGTAACTTTCATTATTCAGTGACTGCGGATAGCGGACTTGATGAAATTGGAGTTCTAAATTCGGGAGTTGTCTATAACTTAGATTATAAGGCCTGGGAATATTATCGAAGGTTTTATACAAGATCTATATTAAAACCATCATTTATGATTCAATCACTAAATAGTGTTCGGGAAGTATTTAATGAGATGGAGGGTTATTGGGAACAGCTTGGAGAAGATACCGTATTAGACTTTCCCCATTGGACGAAAAGATTTTTCATGGATTCCACACTTTTATTAACCGCCAATAAACGCGCATACTCACTGGCTAACTATTACAATAGTATATCGATTGGCAAAAAGGTTAAGGTATCTGAAAGCGTCGTGAAAGAAAGCAATACTTTTCTAGAGGCTCTCGATCTCTCTGTTA